TATTACCAAAAACCTACCTATCAGCCTCTCCATGAGTTGTATTCAGGCTTTTTCTAAAACATTTTAAATTTAATAGTATCGTGTTAAAAAATACAACAAACTTTCATATTTTAAAAATATATATATATATATATATATATATATATATATATATATATATATATATATATATATATATATACATATATATATAATATGTAAAATAAATATATAACAATTTTTATTATTAATTTTTAATAATAAAAATTGTTATATATTTATTTTACATATTATATATATATGTATATATATATATATATATATATATATATATATATATATATATATATATATATATATATATATATATATATATATATAATATAAAATAATCATGATATAGCAACTATTTATATATTTCTTTAACAAAAATTAAAAAGATATTAGATTCTCAAACAGCATGTTCATTATAATGAACATGCTGTTTGAGAATCTAATATCTTAATTTTGTATCTAATATCTTAATTTTTGTGATTTGTGACGTGATTTAAATGCGCTAGTGACGTGATTTAAATGCGCTATTGAAAGGCATTATGAATTGCGGGAAAATAAATAGCACTTGAGTGCTATTTATTTTCCCGCAATTCATAATGCCTTATGATTTAAATCACGTCACTCTACGACTCAATTTACTCAGAAAGTCACGCAATTCAATGTACACTCTGATTGCGAGAAAAATTTTTAATTCAACTAAATTTTTTTGGTAATAATTTAATTTTAACGTAAGGGACAGATTGTCCCGGGCGGCAGATTTCCAAGGGGCACCAAATACAATAAAGGTACCTTGGAACAAAGGTCCTTTACCGATAATATAGGAGAATTTTGATAATTAAGAACGCTTATCGTGTTGCTGTCCCGGGCGGCGAAACAGTTCTTGGCGGCATTTTATATATATATATATATATATAGCTATTTGTTATTATTTAATTTTTTTACAACACTTTTATTTATATACATTCAATAAAAATAGTTTTTAATTATTTTGTAATTATAATATATTTTTATTTATTTCCATACTTATAATGTTGTCTAGTGATCCGGGTTTCGAAACCCACCACCGCTAAGTTTTTCATTTTTCAAAATAAATTTAAAAAATTGAAAATCTTACGAATCCTTTATGATACCCTACAGGATAATCACAGGATTTCTTATGATCTTATAGGATTTGCAAGACAAATAAAATCTTACGAATCCTTTAAGATACCCTATGGGTAATCACAGGATTTCTTATGGTCCTATAGGATTTGAAAGACAAATAAAATCTTACAAATCCTGTAAGATATCCTGTAGGATAGTATAAGATTATATACGATCCTATAAGACTCATAAGTTGTCTGTAAGATAGTCGACTAGTGTTGTCATCATGATAATCATCATCATCTTTATTATGGCACTATGTAAGGCACACTCTTCAAATTTTCTTACTTCTACCACAATCATTTTATACTGAAGCTGCTACCACTCTACATATTAATACCTGAATTACTTAAACTTTTTCTTAAAAAATAAGGTTGTTTGATACAACGTTTTTTCTAATCTGTCTAATATTATGCCTACTTTTTATATTTTAATGAAGTCACACCACACATCCATCTGATCATTTTCTCTTTCGGCAAATACTACACCCTATAAATACTAAAGTTTAAACAATAATAAAAGGGTATTGTATGCCAGCATCTACTACTCTACATCTCATTCAACATTAATTAAATATGCCTCACTCTACTCTACATCTTTCAACATTAATTACGTTTTTCAGCTTTTATATAAGAACATCTCTATTAAGAAAAAATTGTCCTTTTTTATTATTGCAATAAGCTAATGTATAAATAAAGTCTTGTCTGATGTAAATCTCTGTTATTCTCAGTTTACTAAACCTTGTATCTTATCTTAGATGTTAATTCTAGAGACTTTTGGTTACTTTTCAACAGTGTTATTAACTAAAGTAAGCCTAACGTTTAATTTCTAACTTATGGGTTTTATCTTTTTACTTTACCTCAAAGTAAAACAGAGCTATTTACAAGGAAATCTTACTCTAGTTTGACTCTGGAATATAATGGCCATACTCTTCCTGACAGTAAAATATTTTTGCTAAACTTTAAATTAGTCCATTGTTAAACATCAAAATTACTCTAGCTTACAATACTAAAACTAATTCTCAATTGAACACTTCTACAATGTGTGCTTCAGACAAGATTTCCATCATAGTCTTAAAAACGTGTTCTCCATCTATCTACAATTTTTGCTAAACTTTATTTTTCCAATTTTTCAAATCTCTAGAAAACACTTTGACCTCTCCAAGTATCCTACAATTCTTTTTCACTTTGTTATTAGTTTCTTATAATTTTCTATGAAAAGGTTTTGAGGTAATTAAATTACTTCTTTCTAACTACAGTAGTGAAGTTATTCTTGAAGGCCTACCCTCTTTATTTCAAGTAACTTTAAGGTTCTATATTTGTTCCTGTAATATTTTTTATCTACAATAACAATCATAATGAAATCTAAAGTGGCTCTATTTGCTGATGACTCTACTTTATACTCTTGTCTTGACAATAAATCTTTACTTTTTAATTGCTTAGAACAAGCAGCAAACTTTTAAATCTGATCTCTCTTCTATAATAACCTAAGGCTTGCTGTGTCTTATGGATTTAAATTATGTGTTGCTGTGTCTTATGGATTTAAATTATGTTATGAATCAACGATTGGAAAATTATTATAGGTAGCTTTCATTGCATTAAGACAAATTGGTTAAAATAACCATTCATTTTTTTTCGAACAAGATGGAACAACTGCCTCTGCTACAAACCTAATGTAAGGAAAAATTTTTATACAAGTGGATATTTGTCCACTAAAATACCTCTATTGCCTAAAAAAGCTTTTTAATGATTTATTACTCTAACAAATAACTTAAAAATGTCTAAATTTGGCCACTGACTGAGCTGAAATTTATTCTGCATAGAAATACTTTTACATATTTATGTTTGTGTTGAGCAATTTTTAACAATCTTCAACTATTTTTCTTAACTTATAAAATGAAAACAATTTAAAAAGTTTAAAGCTTGGTGTATTTTAAGTTACTTATTAGGAAAAGAAAGTTTTTAAATTATTTTTAAATGCAGGTTGGAGATAAATTTCTCTTCAAAATTCAGAAAACTCCTGCCAAATGGGAGAGGCTTCATAGGTCTGTATACAGATACTTAATAAAACTAGTATACAAACTCTTAATAAAATAATAAATAAATGTTAAACTATATAAATATTAAATTCCTCATAAAATATTAAACTCTTAAATATTGATAATAATTCTTTAATAAAATTTCCAAGCCATTATACCAACTTTTATATTTTTCAATAAAAATGACTAGATATGAGAATATTTTGTAATTTAACAAAAAACATGTATTTATTATACACACAATATGCCTCTCATATATATATATATATATATATATATATATATATATATATATATATATATAATATATATATATATATATATATATATATATATATATATATATACATATATATATATATATATATATATATATATATATATATATATATATATATATATATATATATATATATATATATATATATATATATATATATATATATATATATATATATATATATATATATAAATAATATATATATATATATATATATATATATATATATAAATAATATATATATATATATATATATATATATATATATATATATATATATTATATATATCATATATATATATATATATATATATATATATATATATATATATATATATATATATATATATATATATATATATATATATATATATATATATATATATATAGCAAACTGGGCAAAACTATGAAAACTAAGTTTTAATGTAAATATAGGTAAAGTTATGC